ATCAACCATGGCCAGAACCAAAAACCCAGATCTTGATACCTATTATAGCTTTGAATTCTCCCTTGCAGATATTTTCTTACAAGTGGAAAAATGGGGTTCAACATGATATTCATAGGCAATTATGACTACGGGCTTGAGCACAATTCATTCTTACCGAAAAGCATATGTTATAGAATTTAGTTGATATGATACACTTATAATTCTTCCCTAATCGTTGCTTACAAAAGATGCAAGAAGAAAAACGGGAAATTCAAATCCATTGAAGCGTTCTATAGATCCTCAAAATTACTTTTTTTTAGATGGATCAGTTTATTACTTATCTGATCTACAAATTGGACTACTAAGGTAAGAATTCGAGTCTTTCTCCTTTTCTTTTTGCCATATGAATCAGCCCTTGCGATTGCGTTGAATATGCCCCTATTGATCTGTAGAAAGAAACTAATGACATAAACAACAATCATTTTTACAATCAAAACATAAACAGGAACCATCTTACCAAGTTTAGCGGAGGTGGAGGTGGAACCGAAGGAGGGGCCATACTTGGTGGGAACGGAAACGGAAAGTGGGAGGATTAGGGGAAGGAGGGTTATACATTATAACGTACAAATTTTTAACAAAGTTGATCGTTTCAAAAGCAAAATGCAAACTGCAATGACCATTTTTCTATTTGTTAAAGTTTAGGGTCAATATTTGTACTTTTATATAAACCAAAAGGACCAAAATTGTAGTTTACTCTAGAATTTATCAAATGTTTTATAAAAATAAAATTGAATTTTTTTTAAATCCTATAAATGATAACCATATTGTTTAACACAAAACGACAAAATGTTGGTTGGGAGAGAGAGATTGTGTAGCTACATTCTAGAGACTTCAATCTTAAAAACATTTATTTCAATTTTTTCATTATAAAAAATCAAAATAATTATTAAAAACGCAACCCAATTCTTATTTTTTATAAATAAAAATACCTAAATATAATACAAATATTATTAAACCAAAAAATATTGACTTAATTTTAATAATATAATTTTAAATCAAAATATTTATTAGTTATTATTTTAATCAATATGAAATATATTTTTTTTAAGCTTTTATTCAGTTGACTATAAATGTTTGATACGGTGATTCGTAGAGTTTTCTTGGTGGCAAATTCGTAAAGTGACAAAATGAATAAATGTAAAAATATTTCAATTTTTAGCTGTTTTTTTATTTATTCAAATAAATAAAATTTATTTGTAATAAATATAAAATATTTAAATTTGAGAGTTAATTTAACTGGTAAAATTTTGAGTTTGTTTTCTAAAAATTACTTATGAGCATTTTCAGTTGAAGTTCTTATATTTGATTGCACATTAGTTCCATCTCATCTTGTTTCCACATGGTAGTTCTAGTAAGGGGGTGTGTACCAAATTTTTTATTAAGTCGTGTATGAATAAATTTGTTTGTTTGGATAAATGAGTGTTGCTGTTTATTTTTTTTATCTGAACCAATAGTTTGAATAACATAAATGACCGATTTACCCCCCAATATTAATTATTTGAACATCAAAACAAAAAATCACAAAGAGGTTGACGATTGAATGTCTCATTTGGGAATGAGGCGATACTTTAAATAAGGGGTATGGGTGTTATTTTTGTGGCTGAATGAGGACAATATACCACTTTTATCTGTGCGAATAAGCCATAAGTAAACAACTCAAATGAGCTGTGCGAATAAGCCAGATAGACCAATAAGCCTAATTAAGCCGCAAGTAAACAGCCCCTAAGAACCTGTTTGTGGGCATTATGTATTTTTTATACATCAATAATTATTATATATTTATAACTGAATATCAGATATTTAATTTGAAATACTTACAAAAAGTTGCAAATTGTCACTTCACACCAATTTTATTTGAAAAGTTGTTCCAAGCTATATTTGAACTAATCTCGATAAATTGTTACCGTAAGAAATCGGTTCTGATAAACCCAGTGGTTATAGTTGTTGTGTGTGTCTGGAATCAAACCCTGGACGGATGAGATATTCCACCTCATCCTCCAAGACCCCAACCACTATGCCATAACCCTTGTGGTTTACTTCATACCAACTTTAAGGTAAGAACCAAAGTTCTTGTAATAAAACTACGTTTTTTTGCTTATAAGAATATTTGAATTGAAGATGCTTTTAAAGGGGTTATCTAACTATTAACTATAACATCTCATCAGAAAATAGATCGTGTGAGAATGAAAGTTAAAGTAAGACACGTAAGAAAAGATGTAGACCCTTGATCATTTTTAATCTCAAACCTACCTATAAATCAACTTGATACGAAAATTAATCTGGTGCATCTCATTCTAATTTTAATAGATATCCAAAAATAGAGATGTATCTTAACTGGTTCAAATATAAAAAATTAATATATTTTTAATATACTATAATTTGCACAGGTTTTTTATTTTACTTATTTTATTATGGGGGGTTGTCACACAATGTCAGATGTCAATATATAAGAGAGGACAGCAACAAGGGCAATTTCGGGAAATCACCTGAAAATCTGTCGGTCTCTAACTCCAGTTAACTATTTAACTCTACTATCTGGTTAAACAGTCTTTAGGTTGTTGAAAGAGAGAGAGATGTGAAATGGTGGTGGGCCAGTTCCACTCGTGAGCTGGACCAATAAAAGCGATATATATATATATATTTTAAAGAGCGTCGGTGACTCGGTGTGTGTTAACCATGATTTAAGTCTTGAGAGAATTTTATATCCAAAAATTTTGCATTTTGTCACCAAAGTTTCTATTTTTTCAAAAATGCACACAAATGTTTTATTTTTTAACAATTACACACAATCAAGGACCCCCACAAGTTACCAATATTCCAGTTTTACTTGAAATAGTTATATTGTGTGAAAGAATATATTTTATGTCATTCTAAGTACTTATTGTTTCCACTTTTTTGTAGCCTTACCCTTTTTTTATTTTCATTTCAGGGCTTAATTATTAAAAAATCTGATAAACGGAATCGATTAAGAAAAAAACATTTCCGTATCAAACTTTATGTCATATATGAGATGACCTGATTTGATGTATGTTTAAAAGTTTATGGTTTTAAAACATATTTATTTTGATAAACGTGTTTTTGAAAGCTTGTCGAGATTGAAAAGTTACATATTAAGACGTGTTCTCCAAAATATAAATTGAGGTATTAAGCAGTTATTAACGAGATTAAATATAAAAATAAACCTTTAGTTTTGTATAATATAACGGATTTATTACCCCACAAGTCCAATTTTTCATTTTCATTCAGTTACATGAACCAAACAGGCCCTTGTGTTTATCTTTTACGCAATTTACCCTTATCAAATCAACTAAAGTTATATTAGACTGTTTAATACATTTCTTTAGTCTGCAGCCTCCCCTAAATACCTGTTAGAAATGCATACGGACGTGTACTAAGAACCTCGATTCAATCATCAAATAACAAATATTTTTTTTATTAACCTGGATATCTAACCCGCTATGCGAGCCGACTAATCCCAGAGCGACCACCTACTTTGCAGATAGCTTGGAGTCACCGCATTTGAACCTCCATGGCCACAAGAGGATTTTTATTTCTCTTTAGATTTGAACCTGAGTCATGCTGGTACTTTTATAGTTAAGTCAAGAAGCTGAAAGCCTGAAACATGGGTTTCAATTGATTTTTTAGGTATATCCAGGTCTTGACTGATCACATCCAATTTCGTTTTTAAACCTCCATTTTCTTTTAATTGTATACAGTTGTGTAATATATATACAGTTCAATTCAAATGAGGTTGACCCTAACTGGGTTTTTTTCTTCAAGAAAATGGGGATTGATATGTCGGTTGGATCTGGACTAGTCCTCAGCCTGGTGCTTACCTTAACTAATCATTTTTTAAGTCGGGTCCGAGTCAATTGTCAGTCCCAACTCCATTTATGCATCTCTGATAGAAACTAATATCATATGATATTCACTCTTTGTCTCACCGTCACACCAACATATTTACATGTGACAATAAATTCATTGTTGAATATATATGAAACTTATGTCATGACGACAATTACTTTGCACCATATAAAAGTAGAATTGTACTTGTCAACCATTAATCCATGATTTCTATATAATATTCGTCAATAAAGCAGTTTATTAAAATAATGACAACCCTTTGTGATAGTGACTACAAACAACAACAAGATCGTTTATAAAATTAAAATTCCAACCCTTTTGAAATGAAAAAAAGGAACTGAAATCAGTACATAAAAAAATATGTACGAATCCAAATGCTACCGTGTTTTAAGACGACAAATTTTAGTATAAAGAGACTGTAGGGTGAAACTTTTGAAATGCTATAAGAAGGTACAAATGCTCGGTACATAACCAATGACAAGACCTTAACGAGATATAATAATTGATAAAATTTACGCTATATTTTTGCATTTTCTGATTACAAACTCGAACAACCATATCTGTACTGTTATATATTAGTTACTTTTTTTTTGTCTAACTTTAATCAAATTACCAAATAATAACGGTTATAATGATTAATGCTGTATCCGTTAAATAGTTTTCTTGTTATCTTAGGTCGAACTGATAATTTACGTTAATTAATCCGTTTAAATTTAAATCGATATATATATATATATATATATA